GGGAGCACGAAGACGATCGAGGAGCACCGCCTCGGATTCGCCCCCACCATCCGGCCAACTGTTCGCCATCAGCGCGCCAGCATCGCGCCAGGCGTGCAGGCGGGACACTGCCTGATGGCCAGGGGATGACGGCGGCGCGCGCCCCCCATGCTGACACGTGCTAGCTGACGAGGTGGGCGGGCGGCTCTGCGACGGGGCCGGTAGAAGAAGTACACACGCGTTAGCACCTCTGCGCACGGATTGGGGCCGAGTGGCCCACAGTCTGGGACGGGACAGGCAGCGCGCACCTGGCCTGCACCACCCGTGGAGGACGCCCCGCCAGTGCTACTTACTGATGGCACCCCTGCCCCGAGCGGGAACACCATGCAGCCTGGTACTGCGAACCTAGCCGGTGACGCGTACCGCGCGCCCCTCGACGCTCCAGCCTGAGGGCAGGTGGGGCGCAGGCGCCATCGACACCCACTCCAAGGCCGCCTGGGGTGCCCCGCTCCACTGGCGGCACACTCCAACCGTCAGCCGCCGCGGATGGGGGGAGGAAGCCGCGTACCGACGCTAGAGCTGGGACGATCCATACCGCAGCCTCTACGAGGCGCCTCGTTGCGACATCCGGTGGGCGCCAGTGGGACTACAGGGAGAACCGCCTGAAACCTGGGCAGAGCTCATCAGCCGCCTGAAAGGCACCTGCGGGGCGCTCTTCGTGGAAGGCTGGAACTGGGCGTGCGACGTGAGGGGCGACAAGAGGCGGCGGGGCAAGGACCGTCACAACCCAGGCGGGTACGACGAGCTCTGCCAGGAGTTCGTGGACGACCTAACCGCCTCCTACTACGACATCAGGGCCTGTTGTAGTACCACAGCATTCACGTCGACTGGGATGATGTGTGGCAGCAGCAGCAGCAGCAGCAGCAGCAGCAGAACCGACAGGCGCAGGCTGGTGGGGGAAAGGGCCAGGGAGGCAAGAAGGCCAGCGGCGCCTCCTGGCCAGCAGGAAAGCACTCCCGCACGCGAGGCATTTAGCCGCCATGCCTGGCCTTCCGTACGCGCTGCCCTCTCGGACCCTAGCCCCCCGAAGAGGTCCGAGGTTCGCGCGGGGCGCGCCCCCCCTCCCTGGGTGGTGCGCCCAACCTCGCTCTTTCCCTCTCTGGGAGCGTCCAGCCCCCCAGGTAGATTCTCCCCCTCCTCCCCTCCTCACAGCCGGAGCGCCTACGCCCCCAGGTGGGTGCTCCCACGATAAGTGCTCGTGCACCGGCCAGGTGCTATGCCTCTGCTGCGTGGGCGTGCAAGTCGGTGGCCTGCCCTGGCGGTGCTGCCCTACCTCTGGGCCTGGGGGTCCTGGGGCAGACCCTTTCTGCGGCCAGCGTCGGGAAGGAGAAACGCAATGTGCTGTAGAAGCATCATTAGAGTTCGTTTGGCCTATCGTACAAGTGGGCACTCTTGATGTGGATTTCCTCTTCCACGCTGATGGCAGGGATCTTCGTAAGCATCTTTGTATACATGTCTGGTTTTGTCATATCAAGGCTGGACAAGTTGCTACGTTTGGAAGGGGGTGGCCGTGCGAAACGTTATCCGCAGCTCGGTGGAAAGACTGGGGCCTCCATCGGTCTAGATCCCAGTGCCACATGGGGGTTGGCGCCTCGCACTCCGCGCCAAAGGCTTCTGGTTAATGTGGCCAACTCTTTATATATGGCCACGGCAGAGCTGTTGTATGTCATGGCAGTCTCAGGAGGATGTGGGTGGATGGAGCATCCAGCTTCGCCCACCTGGGATCCCCGCTCGGTTCCCTCATGGACTTTTTAGGCCCACCAAGGCCCTCTTGGCTTCCCCGGCATAATCCGCCGGCCCCCTTGTGGTGCCACCAGGCTGTAGGGCAAAGGTTCACAGTTTCCTGTACCAGTTGCAGCTTCCAGTTTCCACTGTGACAGTTCTGCTTCTTGCTGCTTACTGTTCCTTGTTGATGGACCGCGCGAGGAGGGGGAGGCCCAAACGGGCAGGTTTAGCACGCCCCGAGCGTGTGCTCTGAATTGCTGGGGTGGGTAAAAATTGGCACTCCTCACGCAGATCGGCGGGGTCAGGGTCCAAAACCAAAGGGGATTTGCCACATTTCTGAAATTCGGTCGCACCCCTCACGCAGATCGGCGGGGACAGGATCCAAAAACACACGGGATGTGCCTCATTTCTAAAATTTGCAAGCACCCCTCACGCGGATCGGCGGGGTCAGGGTCCAAAAACATAGAGGTTTGCCTTATTTCTAAAATTCGGCGGCACCCCTCACGCAGATCGGCGGGGTCAGGGTGCAAAAACACAAGGGATTCTCAACATTTCTAACATTCGGTGGCACCCCTCATGCAGATCGGCGGGGTCAGGGTCCAAAAACATAGTGGGATTTGCCACATTTCTGAAATTCGGTGGCACCCCTCACGCAGATCGGCGGGGTCAGGGTCCAAAAACACATGGGATTTGCTTCATTTCTGAAATTCGATGGCACCCCTCACGGAGATCGATCGGCGGGGTCAGGGTCCGAAAAACCCACGGGTTTTTCAACATTTCTGACATTCGGTGATCGACAGGGTCAGGGTCCAAAAAACACAAGGGATTTGCCACATTTCTGATTTCGGCGGCACCCCTCACGCAGATCCGTAGGGTCAGGGTCCAAAAACATAGGGGATTTGCGACATTTCTGAAATTCGGTGGCACCCCTCTCGCAGATCCGTAGGGTCAGGGTCGAAGAACGAACAGGTCCCGACACTGCTTCACGGCGGCGCCCAGACCTCATGATTTAGCTTTTGCATCTCCCATTATCCGAGACAGGGAGCCGGCGGCACGGGGCAAGGCCCTTACGGACATATTTCGGAGTTTGATCAGTGTGAATTCGGCGAGGACGTGAGGGTCCCGACAGGTATCCTCGCTGTGCGTTTATCCCCCCTAGCCACCACCCTGTGCGACACGCCTGGAGGTGGCAAGTGTAGCCACGGTCCTGGAGGCCACCAGAAGCTTCTGGGCAAGAATGGTGAAGGATCTCTCCGTACGGCAAGGAGGAAGATATATCCTCCAGCAATGTGCTCAGTGATCGGCCGAGCCATGCTAGAGTCCATCCTGCTGGCGGTGGAATTGGATTTTAATAATGACAGGCAGTAGCGCGAAGATTTAATCACGTTTAAAGTTTCCTCCGCACTCATCGATGCCAATGCCCCGCCCATGGGTCCTGATTTCGCTGTCAAGAGATATGTGCGTCAGGTTCCACCACTGCCAGGATCAAGGCTGTGTTGAATCCAGGCCGCCAGTCAGATCAACTAGATGGTGGCCTTGCCACTCACTCGATTGCTACTCGGGCCACCACGGGCGATCAGGCCTCGAGCGGCCAGGGATAAGATACAGTCTGACTCGCACAGATGGTTCCAAGTTGCCTCTTCGGGTATCTGACTGTCTTGGGGGAGTGAATGTGACGAGGCGTGGGGGGAGGGATGGGAGGGATTGCTGTCTTCTGGTTTGCCTCCGCCAGCGCCCGCATTTGGGCCGTGCTCATCCAGTTTGGCACCCAAGCGCGCCTCGCTTGTGCCAATTAGTTGTGGAGGGGAGGTGTTGGTTGAATCATGTCGTCGGTCTGGGACGTCAATAGTCCTGTGTTATGCTTGGCTTTTTGCGCCGAGTTTTGCATATTCTTCGATATTCAAGCTCTGTTGAGGCTTGCCTCTGGGCCCATCAGTGGGCCCTCCCTGGTCTGCAGTAGATGCATCTTCCTACACACCCCAGCAGCAGCAGCTACCCTGTGGAGTTTTTGTCGCGGACCCTTCCGATCCGATCCGATCAGATCCGATCCCCATCCTCCTCAGCCACCCGAGCCTTCCCAGCCGCAGCGCCCGAGTGGCCAGGGAAGGTATGTATCTGGAGGGCGGTGGGCACGGACGGGAATATGCATCCTCTTCGCTTCTCGCTCTTCGGAGGGCCGTCAGCTTGAAAATATCTTGCGTCGTGACCTGGGCCGGATCCCTTTGCCGCTGTCCTCAGCAAGTAACTCACGAAGCTTTTGGTCGTCCCCATGGCGCCCAAAGCGCGCCTAATCGCGCTCAGAGCAGGCATCACGCATCTCCCTCACATGGCGCTATTGGTCTCTGATGGGCGCTATTGGGCCCCATTTGAACACTGATTCGGAGCCAATGGGCGCTATCCTGCGCTATGTGTGCACTCTTGTGCGCTATTCATCGATATACTATCTGCCTCGAGCGGAAGCTTCCGTGATTTACTATCTAACATGACCTGTCGGGGAGACGTAAGACTCGAATTTGCAAAACTCGAGTTGGCTTTACGGGGCCGTTAGAAAAATAAAACCACCCGATCGGAAACTTAACGCGAACTCCCGCTGCAAGCTTCCCCCGAAAACTGGACCGTCAAAGTCGTGGACGGGCACATCAGGAAGCGTCGTCAGAACCGAGCTCTCGGGTCGCATGTTCCCCTGAACCTGACCCCATCCCCGTGCCGCTCTCCATCCCGCATCCAGCAAAAAGAACAACATCAACAACATCAACAACAACAACAACAACAACAACAACAACAACAACAACAACAACAACAACAACAACAACAACAAACAAACAAAAAAACGCTCGCCGTGCTGTCTGGGCCTCCCCACATGGGCACCTGGCTCGTATTGAAGGTCCGCTGGCCGCGGCGGAGGCCCTCTGGCGCAGACCGACGGGAGGAGCCGCCACGGCTGCCCCGGAGTCCGAGAAGGCGGCCGGCCCGCCCCTGCCGGGCGAGAGCGGGAAGGACGGAGCGGGATGCGAAGGGAGAGGGGGGCAGTGGATCCGAGGCATCCTTCGGGGATGCGGATGCAGATGCGAGGAGGAGGAGGAGGAGGAGGAGAAGAAGAAGGGGGAGAAGGAGGAGGAGGAGGAGGAGGAGAGGAGGAGGAGGAGGAGGAGGAGGGGAGGGGGAGGAGGGGGAGGGGAGGAGGAGGAGGAGGAGGTGGAGGAGGTGGAGGAGGTGGAGGAGGAGGAGGAGGGCTCCTGGAGGGCGGTCCAGCTCGCTGAGAGACACGCGTCCAACGGGCACGAGCAGAAGCGACACGAGGCGGCATGCTGATCGACCTCGCCGTCGGGGCACAACGACAAGATCGAGGCTGCCGGTGTTCTTCCCGACGTGGGCCTCCGAGAGCCCTCTTCGTGCCTCCGGCGCCGTTGGAAGGCAGCGCGGGAGGGGAAAGCGGGCTCCAGCCAAGGGGTCGAGACACCGAGGCAAAGGGCCCTTGCCACGGAAAGCTCGCGACTGGGGTGGAGAAGGCGGAGGAGGTAGTACGGGGCACGGAGGGGGAGGACGGGGGGCGTGCAGGGAAAGAAGGGTCCGTTGCTCCGCCCTTCTGGGCGGGATGAAGGACGGCGGAGGGGGAGACGGGAGACGTCCACCACCCACCGGCACAGGTCCTGGCACGGACACCAGACGCTGGACGCCGGACACGAGACATCGGCCCTGGCACTGGCACTGGACACCCGACACTGGACACCGAGCTCCGATAACAGGACGCTAGATGCCGATCTTCGATCCTGAAGACGGACGGGGGGGGGGGCAGGAAAAAGGAGGCGAGCACATCATGGCCAGAGACACGTGCGCGAACGAGGGGGGTGCAGAAAACGTATGGAAAGAGGAAGAGAGGGCCATAAAATCGCGGTGGCTTCATGGCCAATGCCATGATATCCACGCACGCCTACACGTAAGGACGCACGGTAGGGATGCAAGGGCCTTGGAAGACCATGTCAACCATGTCGACACTTTGCGAGCGGGGCGCGGCCAGCGAAAGCGGTCAAGGATGGGTCGAAGGAGATGAACGCAGGGTAGCCTTGGAAAGTCGTTCATCGTTACTATGCGATCTGACTGTAGTCCTCCCCGGCCCCTCGAAGGCCTCCGAAAAAAACGGTTGGTCCCCTGGCCAGGCAGTCGTCCGCCGAGCACCCACCCACTTTCTTCGGAAGGCTGAAAAAGCCTCCTCGGCCCCGAGGCCCTCCCCACCCCTCCCTCCCTCATCCCCCCCCCCCCCCCATCCCTCCCCCCTTGCTCCTCCACTCCCTCCCCCCTCTCCCTCCTTCCCCCGCCCTCCCGCCCTCATACCTTCCCTCCCCCCTACCTTACTCCTTCATACCCATCCCGCCTCCCTCCCCAAGGGGCGCACGCGGAGCGGCTGTCGCCCTCTAGCATGTTGAAGAGTAGCGGGAAGCCATCTTCAAGCACGAAGTTGCCGATAAACTTGGCGATCAGCCATGGGATCATCAAGGGCAGCCATGCGCGGGCGTGCCTCATAGAGTTGGCGAACACCTCGCAGAGGCGACGGGTGGGCCGACGGAAACGTGGCTAGAGGAAGGAGGGGGGGCAGGAGGAGAAAGGAGCGCGTATGGATGAGCACTGGAGAGGGAGACGGGAACGAGGACACGGCTGCAAGCGACAGTGGCACTCTCGCCGCAGTTGCTTACGATACTGCTTTTCTTCTCCTCCTCCTGCCCCTCCTCCTCCTCCTTCCCTCCTCCTCCTCCTCCTCCTCCTCCTCCTTCCTCATCCTCATCATCATCATCATCATCATCATCATCATCATCATCATCATCATCATCATCATCATCATCATCATCAATCATCATCATCATCATCATCATCATCATCATCATCATCATCATCATCCCCTCTGCTGCTCCTCCTCCTCTGCTGCTGCTCCTGCAAATTCTCCTGCTCCTGCTCCTGCTCTCTCCTCCTCCTGCTCCTCTCTTTCTCCTGCTCCTGCTCCTCCTCCCCCTCCCCCTCCTCCTCCTCCTCCACCTCCACCTCCTCCTCCCCTCCTCCCCTCCCTCCTCCTCCTCTCCTCCTCCTCCCCTCCTCCTCCTCCTCCTGCTCCTCTCCTCCTCCTCCTCCTCCTCCTCCCTCCCCCCTCCCCTTCCTCCTCCTCCTCCTCCTCCTCCTCCTCCTCCTCCTCCTCCTCCTCCTCCTCCTCCTCCTCCTCCTCCTCCTCCTCCTCCACAATTACTCAATATGAAAATACTATCCCTCTTCCCCTGATGGCGTCCGGGTGATGACCGCGCATTCTCCGCGTACTGCTTCTTACACACAGGATGCCCGGGAAATCCCGGGAAACGACTCTCGCTGAGGCGCCGGCGTCATTTTCGGGCCGAGCGCCCCCCGCGTACTGTTTTTTTTACACACAGGATTTTGGCGAGAACACAACGCAGTTTTGTTCGTTGTCACAAAAACGCGGACCTGGGAACCTTCTACCCCTGCCGCCCCGCCGCTGGCGCCGCGGTTCGCCGCGGTGCCTGTGGTGGGGCGGGTTGGGTCGGTTGGGGGGTGCGTTTGGGGTGGCTCGCCTCAGGTCTTCATGGACTTCGTGTTCCTCGTCTTGTTCGTGTTCTTTGTCCACGTCTCCCTGCGGTGGGGGGAGGGTAAATATACCCCCGCGTCGCGCGCGCTGCCCCGAGGGCGCTTGTCGGCCGAACGCGAGGCTGGCGCCCTCGGTGCGCGCGTCGCGGGCCGCCGTGGCGGCTTTTGTTTCCGTATGACCGTGTCAGTATGACCGTGTCAATGAGGCCGTGTCAATGCGACCGTGCCTGGGCCGTGTCAATGCGACCGTGCCAATACGACCGTGTCAGTGCGACCGTGTCGATAAAGCCGTGTCAATGCGACCGTGCTATGGCCGTGTCAATGCGACCGTGCCAATACGACCGTGTCAGTGAGACCGGGTCAATAAGGCCGTGTCAATGTGACCGTGCCTGGGCCGTGTCAATGCGACCGTGCCAATACGACCGTGTCAGTGCGACCGTGTCGATAAAGCCGTGTCAATGCGACCGTGCTATGGCCGTGTCAATGCGACCGTGCCAGTATGACCGCGTCAATGTGACCGTGTTGATGCGGCCGTGTCAATGCGACCGTGCCTGGGCCGTGTCGACGCGACCGCGCCAGTAAGATCGCGTCAATGCGACCGCGTCTGTAAGGCCGTGTCAATGCGACCGCGTCTTTTCGATTGCGTCAACGCAACGCGTCAATTACGCCGTGTCGTTGCGACCGTGCCAATTTCTCCGCGTCACTGCGTCCGTGTCTTGTGGGGCGTGTCAAGGGGACCGTGCCGTTGCGACCATGTCAACGCGTCCGTCTCGCCGCGACCGTATCAATGCGAATGTGTAAAAGCGAATGCGTCATTGCGACCGCGTCAGCGCGACCGTGTCAGTGCGACCACGCCAGTATTACCGCGTCAATGCGACCGGTTTCCGCCGCCCAGCATGTTGACATTCGTCAGGAGACGCGCGCAATGATCGTTGTTACGCGACGGAGCCAGCAGTGCGCGCAGGCAGAAGACGCGAGCCGCATACGCCGTTGGGCGCGCCGCGGCCGCACCAGCGATGTGCGCTGCAACGCCCACGCTTTCCATGAGCCTGGCTGATTTTCTTGCGGCCCATGATGATACAAGCCGCGGCGCCGAGTGGCTTCGGCAGTGCGCAGCCCTATGCCAGGCGCCGCGAGCGGCTGCGAATGCCGCCACGACGCGCCAGTGCCTCGCGCGCAGGACAATGAGTTGGAGTCAGTGCGTGATCTTGCGTTTGCAGATCCCGGCGCACTGCAGGGCAACCCGTCCGCGGGTAAGCGCTCCTTCTTAGCCAGAGTGATGGCTGCCGCGAAGTCTCTGACAGCGGAGGAACAGCGCGCGGCTGATCCGGCCAGCGCAGGCAGCGCGGCCGGGAGCGGGTCAGCACCTGAGCCGATGTGCCACGTGGACATTCAGGCGAAGTTGCAAGGAGGCGCTCTGAAGGATGTGGGCCAGGCGTTTTGGCCGCGGTCCGCGGCGGTCGACGCCCTCGAGACGGACGTGAAGCGGCTGCAGCGTCGCGGCATCAAGCGGCCATTTGTGTTCGCTGACCTGAAGAAGTTCTTGCCGTCCTGGGCAGAATCGAAGAGCGCGAAAGAGGAGGCTGATGAGGGCCCGCCCATGTCTCGGGATCTTCGCGACCTTTCGCGCGCGCTCGGCGTAGCGAACCCAGTCAAAGCGAAGTCGCTCACTTTCACGCAATGGCATGCCGCCTTCGACAGGTGCACGCGTCTGCGCGCGGGGCGCGCACCCAAGAGCAACGGCGTCGTCCGAGCGCGTAGGTACGCCATCGCTTGCGTCTGCACGGAGCAGATGACGCTGGCTGCGACGATTCGCCACCGCCAGAACGTCATGAAGGCCCGCCTATCGCCGTTGCTCTGCGGATCCAGCGGCGCGAGTGCGATGCGCGCGCGGCGCGGCAGGTGGCCGCGCAGGCGCCCAATGCTAATCGGAGTGGCGCGCTGGGGCTCGTATACGATGAGATTTGCCGGCGCACTTGGGCAGAGAGGTCTCGCGCCGGTGATGATTCCCTCGACATCGAAACTGTCGTGGCAACGATCGATGTGACTCTCTTGGGCGAGGCAGAGGCCGCGTACGATCGCGAAAGTCAGGAGCGCTCAGCCCCCCGCGGGGGCAAGGGTGCCAAGGGCGGCGGAAAACCCGGCAAGGGCGGCGGCAAGGGCGCCAAGGGCGGCGGCAAGGGCAAGTTCCCGCCTGCGCCCCCGGCGGCGCCGAACGACCGCGGCGAGTACGGGGAGCCGCGGGCCAAGAGAGCCAGGCATCACGAGCGCTGATCAACGTTCCTGCGCCGCGCAGGCGCGGGTCGGTGCGCGCGCGCGCGACGGCGGTAGCCGGACGGCGCGCAGGCGCAGCTGAGAGTCCAGCGGTGACATGTGAAGCGCCGCGGACAGGAGGCTGGAAGCGCGGCGCACCTACATGTATGTCGCGCGCGGTGGCGTCGCGCTTGCGCAGGCTACCAATTCGGTGTGGACGCGCGGGGCGCAGCCTACACCGGTTGTTTCACTGGAAGAAGTTGCCGGCGCGGGCGCTCCCGCGGTGGGCGGGGTGCAAGCCCATTTGTCGAAAGGCCCCATCGCGTATCCGTCTTTGCTCCCGCGCGCGCGCGTTAAAAATCTGTCGCGTTGTAGGAGAGCTTGACGCTGGCGACGTGCAGAAGATAGAATTTATCAACTGTGCAATGAAGGACGGATTTCACATCGCGCCATCGCGCGGGATTGAGGAAGACGTTCGCTGCGCCATAGAGTGGGAAGCGTCCAGAGACAGCGTAGAGGTTATGCGTCTGCGCGACAATATGCTATCACGCCTGGAAGCGTGGGGACAAGCGTTACGACGTGACGGGGCCGTCGAGCAATGGTTCGCCGGCGCTGACGACGCGACGCGCGCCGTGTCCGCCGACGTGAATGGGCCGCTTTTAGCTGCTCTGCTCGACATGACGAGCTACGATGACACGGCCGCGGCTGATCTGTTCCGCTACGGCGCGCCTTTGCTCGGAAAGCTGCCCCATGCGGGCAGAGGGCCCGCAAAGAAATTCCCGGAGCCCACGTCGTCCGAGGAGTTGCGGACCTCCTCCCCCGTGCACAATAGAGCCATTTTGTCTTCCTTGCGAGAGGACGTGAACTCGTCTGCGATCCACGAGGGCGCGCTCGCCGATGCGTCTCTGTCGCGGATGACCGCTCCGGTTGTGCTGGCCAAGGCGGACTTGGGCAGGGTGCGTCTGTCCCCGCGTTTCTCCATTGTGCAGGGCGTCAAGCCGGATGGCGCGCCCAAGGTTCGCGTAGTAGACGATGAATCGAGAGGGGGCATCAACTCGGCGTGCCAGCCCGCCGAGAGGTTGTTGCTGGACGGGGCTGACGTTTTGGTGGACGCCCTGCGCTGCTATCACGGTCTGCGCGGGCACGCACCGGCACTGTTTAAGGCTGACATCGACTCCGCTTACCGGCGTGTGCCTATCGCTCCTGAACACAGGCTCGGGATTTCCGGGTGCCCCCCCCCGTTAAAAGCATCGACCTGGGGGCTCGTGTCGGGGTTCCAGAGGAACCCGGCGTTTGCGGTGTCGATGTCGGCCTTGCCACAGGTGGGCAGCTTACAGCACGTATTTGCACGACGGAGACATTTGGGTCACTGGTCACCTGGCGTTGATGTTCGGCGCCCTGGCTGCCGTCTTTGGGTGGGACCGAGTCGGAGCTGCCTTGGCGCACCTCGCCCGCAAGCTCTTAAAGATTCCCACCCTCCGATACGTGGACGATTTCTTTGGGCCGTGCGCACCCGCAACTAAAGAGCATACCATGGCATCGCTGGCCAGACTAGTGCGCCTGCTCCTAGGTCCAGGAGCGGTTTCCGATAAGAAGCTGGAATGTGGCGACGAGCTGGAGATTTTGGGCCTGCATGTGTCCTTTTCTCTCAGCGGGATCAACTTGTTTCCCGCGCCCAAGAAGGTGCGCAAGTGGCTTTT